CGAGGCCAGCCCGGGCTACCAAGTGAGCTCCAGGAAAGGCACAAAGCTATGCAGAGAAACCCTGTCTCGAAAAACCAAAAAAAAAAAAAAAAAAAGATGAACCGGGTTACTGTGGTATAAAGTTTAGCTTAGTGTGATGGGAGAATTCCCACTGAGCTACACCTGGGCTGGCTCCAGAGTGTTAGCACCTCCCCTTAATCCACCTTTTGTTACCTTTTGTCTGTCTTGTTGCCCCCTATGTCAATCTTGTCTGCGTGTTTCCCAAGGGTACAAAGCCAGTGCAGAACTTGGTTGGGAAAAATCCAGTACACTGTGATATTCCTTAATCGAGTATCTACATTTGGTATTGTCCCTTTGCAAGCTTAGTTAAGATATTTTTGGGATATGGAAATCAACTTGCCAAAAGTGTAAATTTGGAGAGCAATAAAAATGCCCTTGGCTAAGAGAGGGGTCTCAGTCCAAGAGAGGCTGAGTCCCCCTGTAGCTGGAAAGGCTAGAGACATCCTCAAAGTGTCTTCTATGTCTTCTTCCCACAGACCCGTGTGAACCCACACCCATTCAACAACATTAGTGTCTGGCATATTGTCAGGCTCCGGGCCTGGGCTGGGGTGACCCACCACTGCCTTCATTAGTGGTCTACTGTGGCTACCAGGTGGCAAGCAGGAAGTTCCTCATAGTCATGTTTGCAAGCTGTCTGAAGGAGCTTATACTTACCAGGAATATTGGTTGTCACCCTTCTATCCTTAGCTCCTGGGACCCCGTTGCCTACCGCTCCACACATCTGGGGTCCTTACCTGCCACCTGCCACCATGTCGCAAGATGCCCAGCCTCACTGGATGCCATCACTGCACTTAACAGTTCCAATCAATTCAGCAAAATTTTCAGATTCTTAAAAATTATCATTATAGCTGAGCAGTGGTAGCACATGCTTTTCATCCCAGTACTCAGGAGGCTGAGGCAGATGGATCTATGAGTATCAGGACAGCCTGGTCTACAGAGTGAGTTCCAGGTCAGCCAGAGCTATATAGAGAAACCCTGTCTTGAAAAAAATATCATCATAATAATCTATAGGTAAATAATCAAATAATGCAGAAGAATATAAATGAGAAATATAAAAGTTCCCCTTCCCTTCCTTGGATTCTTCTAAAATTCCCCGTGCATATTCAAAGGTATTTTTAATTTTTTTAACCAAAGGAGGATTGTGTATACATATAGTATTTCAGTTTGGTTGGTTGGTTGGTTTCTTTGAGGCAGGGTTTCTCTGTAGCCCTGTCTGTCCTGGAAGTCACTCTGTTGACCAGGCTGGCCTTGAACTCAAAGATCTGCTTGCCTCTGCCTCCCAAGCGCTGAAATTAAAGGTGTGTGCCACCATGCCTGGCTTGCAGTCTGCCTTTTGAGAGGATAATGTGTTAGAGACATTTTTCTC